ACATTTTAGAGCTAAGCATTATTATTTCTTATTTTTTTATGTTAATTCACTCTAAAAAATATAATGAAATATAAAAACGCAAAAAAAAAATCCAAAAAAATTTATACCTTTAAGTAACATTGCATTGTTGCATTGTAAAAGTTCCATAAGCTCTAATATTTTATTTGAAATATTCAAAAAAATCTTTCTAAATAAAAAAATATCTTGCAAAATTGTTGATTGTATTTTTGAACTTTAGTAAATGCTACAAAAGGTTCAACAAATTTAAAATTTCGATTGCAAAATTAGTAATGATTATTCATAAAATTGATAATGATTTCAAACCTATTAAACATCCAAAAAATATTAAAATAGTAAATACATTTCAATTTGAAATTCTAGAAAACTATATTAAGTTCTTCAAAAAATTAAGATTTTTTTTTTCAGTAAATTATATGTAAAAATAAAAAACCGAAAACAGATCTGTTTTTGAGACCTGTTTTCTGTTAACAGATTTTTGTAGAAAAACAGCTGTTTTTCTGTTTTCTGTTAACAGGTTCCCAAAACCCTAGCTTCACCTTGTGTCGCTCGGGGATATTGATTTTCAAACGATGAGTGAAAAATAATAATTTACAAATTTTAAAATTTCTAGAATATGTCGCACCTGAAGTTATTCTTAATCGTGGACATGACATTAGTGCTGGTAAATTGTTTTTATTTTTTTACATTAAAATTAAAATCTTAAACATTTTTTATTTTTTAACAAAATAATTAGATTATTGGTCATTGGGAGTTTTGATGTTTGAACTGTTAACAGGTAAAGTGTATGTAAAATTTTAAGGAGGAAACGCTTAATAAGCATATTTTCTCGTTTAGGCACACCTCCATTTACTGGTCCGGATCCTATGCGTACATATAACATCATACTAAAAGGTATTGATGCCATAGAATTTCCCCGAAATATCACAAGAAATGCCACCGCATTGATCAAAAAGCTTTGTCGTGACAATCCATCTGAACGTCTGGGCTATCAACGAGGAGGAATACAAGAAATTCAAAAACACAAGTACGTTTTTCTAAAAAGAGCACTATGGGCCAGAAATCGAAAACTTTTCCGAAAATTATTTTTTTTTGGTCTAAATGATAGCTCTTTCATTCCCATTTATGAAAATACTTACAAAAGTGGCCAATTCAGCCTAAGTTCCGAGTTATGGCTTTTCAAATTTTTGATTAAGAGCATTTTCTCGCCCCACAAAAATTGTCACCACTTTTCATTAGATTGATGAAACTCTTTCAATTTTTTTTTTATTTGGTAGCTTAAAATAAGAGCTTTATTTTAAGATAGTAAACATTTAATTATGCATCTTTTAACCAGAGTTGATATCTTGCCTTTGACTTTGAAAAAGGCAAAATCTTGCAAAGTCAAAGGCAATGCCTTTGTCAAAGGCAAATCCGTATCAACTCTGCTTTTAACTTAATGAATTTGAAGGTTTTTTTAAAAAAGCACGTGTTCAGTATGATTATGTTCGTCTAGGACTTCACTCTTAAAATAAATGATGCTGAATCTTTTTTTATATTGTAGATATAAACAAGATCTACAACTTTTATTAAGATACTATAAAGTTTTAGTAGAGTTTTGCTGATGAAATTAAGTCTTTTCTTCAAAAAAACTGCAATTTTTTGACATAAATTCCCATAACTTTTCAGGATAGCCCAAAGGAGTGGATTTTTTTTTACATGCTTTTAAAAAGCTCTTTAAATATACTATCAGAATATACAATCAGCTTGAGTTCGGTTACTGAGACAATCTCGAGCAATTTGACTTTGAAGTGTGACCAGAAATACATTTCAAAACATAAAAATTGAAAATAAATTTTGTACGTTTTTCAAAATTTTAGTTTTTTGCTTTAGATCAATAGATCTCATCAAGGCGCATATTTTGAGTATAAATATGTCATAGTTTGAACAATTTTTATACTCAAATTTCAACAAAATCATTTTTATATATTTTTTCAACAAATTTTACTTATTTTTCAATTATTTTAAATCAAAACTTATTTTAAATCTTCTGATTTTGATATTTTTTGAAATTTCTATGTTTTTATGTTAAAATGTCATTCCTAGAGCAACAATTCATAAATTTTTTTTTACTTTAAGGTAATTTTTTTATAATTTTTTGCAAATTACACTCATTTTTCTTATCTTTTTTTATCAAATTTTATTTTATAATAATTCTAAATATTGAAATTTAATGTAATATGCATAAAAATACTCTTAAATATTTAAAAATCATATTTTATCCAATTAACGTAGGAATAAAGCTGGAATGAGCAAAGCTTTGATATGTTGCTTTAATTTGAAGGTAATTCTCCTTTCGATTCAGAACATATAAGCATCCAATCAACTATTTTTAATAAATTTCGGTATACATACTTATTTCCATGCAATTGTAAAGCATAAACTGCCTTTCAGGTCCGGAAGTTGAAAGCTCAATATTTATAATCTGACTGGACTCACTAATGGTGACTGGAATTTACCAGTATGAAATATATAAAGTATATATACAAAAGTTTGAAAAGATTGCATCGTTTCGAAATTTATCAAAACTAAATGATGGTTCTTGAATCTATTTTTGTCTATGTATAAGGATTTAAGTGCCTCGCTGGTCAAATAAGTAAGGCGATTGGCTCAAATTTGGAATGGTAACTCGATGGTCGTCGGTTCCAATCCAGCCATTTCCAAATTTGTTCTTTTTCAGAAGTTTAGATACTTCGACTGCTTAATGTACGAGATCAAGCCATGAGATATTTGGATTAAGGAACGGATGAGGAACATGAAGTGTAGCGGGAGAAATAGGAACGAGAGCTACAAGATTACCTTATAATGATAAATTGTCAGAACGGATCTGAAATGTATCACGTTGCGCCCACAGATCAGTAAAAAAAGTATATGCAAAGACAAAAATTTGAAAAATCAATGAAATATGCTAAAAAACTATAAGGAACCATTCAACATTGGATAAAAATTGTCACAATAAATTTGATAGATTGGAAAATGGTTGATAGCGTTTTCCTTTTTAAAAACTATTTTCATTATAGGTCCTTAATTTTAATAATTCGTGGTGATAGTTTATGCTTTACAATTGCATGGAAATAAGTATGTATACCGAAATTTATTAAAAATAGTTGATTGGATGCTTATATGTTCTGAATCGAAAGGAGAATTACCTTCAAATTAACGCAACATATCAAAGCTTTGCTCATTCCAGCTTTATTCCTACGTTAATTGGATAAAATATGATTTTCAAATATTTAAGAGTATTTTTATGCATATTACATTAAATTTCAATATTTAGAATTATTATAAAATAAAATTTGATAAAAAAAGATAAGAAAAATGAGTGTAATTTGCAAAAAATTATAAAAAAATTACCTTAAAGTAAAAAAAAATTTATGAATTGTTGCTCTAGGAATGACATTTTAACATAAAAACATAGAAATTTCAAAAAATATCAAAATCTGAAGATTTAAAATAAGTTTTGATTTAAAATAATTGAAAAATAAGTAAAATTTGTTGAAAAAATATATAAAAATGATTTTGTTGAAATTTGAGTATAAAAATTGTTCAAACTATGACATATTTATACTCAAAATATGCGCCTTGATGAGATCTATTGATCTAAAGCAAAAAACTAAAATTTTGAAAAACGTACAAAATTTATTTTCAATTTTTATGTTTTGAAATGTATTTCTGGTCACACTTCAAAGTCAAATTGCTCGAGATTGTCTCAGTAACCGAACTCAAGCTGATTGTATATTCTGATAGTATATTTAAAGAGCTTTTAAAGCATGTAAAAAAAATCCACTCCTTTGGGCTATCCTGAAAAGTTATGGGAATTTATGTCAAAAAATTGCAGTTTTTTTGAAGAAAAGACTTAATTTCATCAGCAAAACTCTACTAAAACTTTATAGTATCTTAATAAAAGTTGTAGATCTTGTTTATATCTACAATATAAAAAAAGATTCAGCATCATTTATTTTAAGAGTGAAGTCCTAGACGAACATAATCATACTGAACACGTGCTTTTTTGAAAAAACCTTAAAATTCATTAAGTTAAAAGATGCATAATTAAATGTTTACTATCCTAAAATAAAGCTCTTATTTTAAGCTACCAAATAAAAAAAAATTGAAAGAGTTTCATCAATCTAATGAAAAGTAGTGACAATTTTTGTGGGGCGAGAAAATGCTCTTAATCAAAAATTTGAAAAGCCATAACTCGGAACTTAGGCTGAATTGGCCACTTTTGTAAGTATTTTCATAAATGGGAATGAAAGAGCTATCATTTAGACCAAAAAAATAATTTTCGGAAAAGTTTTCGATTTCTGGCCCATAGTGAAGAGGTTTCTCAAAAAAACATTTATTTTATTTTTTTTACCATTTCATATTAGATGGTTTGATGGATTCTATTGGGAAGGACTGCGTAATAAAACATTGACGCCACCAATATTACCAACTGTTAAAAGTGTAATAGATACATCAAATTTTGATGAATATCCTAATGATGGTGAACCATTACCACCAGATGATTTATCAGGTTGGGATAAGGACTTTTAACACTTTTATCAAATTATTAGTCATCAACTAACATAAAAGAATATATTGTTGAATTTTTTCTTTTTAATATTATTATTAATGATTATATCCCATGCATACACTTCTTTTCATATTTCTTTACTTAATTTTACATTAACTTGAATGAATATTTACGATTATTGCATTTTAAAAATGTGTTTTCGAGATTTTTATCTGAAAAATATTTTTAAATGTTGTTTTTTTGTCTGAAAATGAATTGCTTTAATAAAAATATGTCAATTTTCATGTTGTTCAAAAAACATACACTAGTTTTAAAATCACATGTATCCAATAACGGAATGTTAAAATTTAAATTTTCGAAAATACCTGAAAAAAATTTTTTACAGACCTTTTTCGATGTTATTATTTCGAATACGACTTGTTAAATACTTCCGCGCACGTAAAAATCTTCCAACGAAAGGAGGTTTTATATTGATATTTTTCTTTTTGGGCTCACACGGAAGTTGATACGATAAGTTAAACAGACGTGTTTACTCATATTTGATAAACTTTATAATTCCAAATCTTCTAAATTTTTGTGAATTCATCATGGATTTAGACGACTTTTTTGCAAAAAAGGACAAGAAAAAGGGAAAGTCAAAGAAGTCATTCGTCTCAAGTGAAATAAAACAGCTAGAACAATCAGTAGTAAAGGAAAAAGAACAAAATAAAACAGTAGAAGAATCGAATAATGAAACTGGAACTGATGATGTATGTATTTAGCTAGATAATTAATTTTTCGTTAACTTTAATATGTTGAATCTATTTTTTTTTCTAAGAATGACGACGAATGGAGAGAATTTGAGGAATCAAAAAGACCAGATTATTCAAATTTGGTAAATTATTGTTTAACCTTAATTTTTGAGTTTAAGGCTTTACATATTTATTTTGATATTGTAGAAATTGGGGCAATTGACAATAGAAGAAGAACAACAGAATCAGAATAATGTTGGAAATGAAAATGATGATAATGAAGCTTACAATGATGGTGATAATAGCGAGAATCCATGGAAGAAAGGATCACAAACTCAACAAGAGACTGTAATTCCAGCTGCTTCTAGTTCTAAACCTGGGATTTATATTGCGCCAAGAGGAGATGTAATATAATTAAATTAAAATTTTTTTTAAAAAAAACTTAATTATTTATATTTAAACAAACAATTTATAGAGTTCTAAAGCCCGAAAGAAGAATGCTCCAGATTTGAATAATGAAAATTACTTTCCATCTCTCGGAACTGAAAAGCCTGTAGAACAAGTTAAAATGAAAAAAGATGGTTTTGAGGAAGTTAAGCATGGAGTTAAAAAGGGTGCACAAGCATCTTTCACAAATAATCCAGTTTCAATAGGAAACACTTATTCCTCATTATTTAATAATAATGATATTGAAAGCTAAAAGGTCAATGGAATGAAATGTTCTGGAGATTCAAAAAGATACTTTTTATTGAATTCCTCTTTTTCAACGTTTAAAAAAAAGATATATCATACTCGACATACAACATTAACGGGATTTTTTTTTCAAATTTCTGAAGAATTTTTTCTGTACACTAATTTTATAGTTTGTACATTTGAAAACTATCATTACTCCTTGTTATTTACGAGTATGCATTTTTTTTTGCCTTTTAAACGTTGATTTTTAAAAAAAAAAAGTAATGAAAACTACTTATTTCAAAAGTGTTATATTTTAATTTTAACATCTCTTTTTTTATTCAGAATAAAAATTTGGAATTATTAAACTAGCGAGTAATCATTTTTAACCACGTTTTTCTTAACTTGCTTTCTTGTCTTTGTGTTTGTCTTGGTCAAATCTTGCGATCAATTTTTCGACCACTTCTACAGCTCTAATCGAGCAGATATTTTGCATGCACTTATCTTTCCGATGACAATACAATAATCAAGCATTTTAGAAACTCAAAAATGCTTAATTATAGTACAATTAAATTAAATTTTCTACTGTTTAAGGTTTAGCTTATTTTTACATAACATATGCACAACTTTCAATAATTTTAAACTTCAAAAAGCCATTAAAAGTTTGAATCACAAAAAATACGTTTTACGACTTTCTATGGTAAGAGAGCAATTCTCCAGGTAAGTTTTTCAAAAAATCATCCGGACTTTTCTCGAAAATTTTCCATTACCAAGCATAACTTTTACATTTAAATCGATGTAAAGTGGCAAAAACTATTATATTTTATCTATTTAAGTCTTTGAAAGTAGCCAATAATTAAGTTTTTTCAATTTTTTTTGCAAATTACTGTCAGCAAAAAATGGAATAATCATAAGGAGAATCGAAAATTGAAGAAAAGTAAACACTCATTTTTTATTATGATTATGCAGAAATGTAGTTTTTGAGCTAATCTATCCGACCATAATGATATCACACTCCAATAATTACTATGTAAAGAGAATTTATGATTCTTCGGTGGATTTTTTTGCTGACAGTAAAAAAAATAAGCTTTTATTTTGCAAATCCATGAAAAAAATGCAGAGCAAATATTTGATAAAAATTAAATTTTAGTCTTAATTTAACACTTCATGGTTGAATTATTGTTGATTCAGTAAGAATCAATCGTAATAAACAGTTTAAAGTTGCTTTAAGCAATCAAAACAAAGAAATTGACAAGATATTTACAAAAAAAAAATTGAAAGTACAGTAAATGACTTTGGATTATAAAAGCTCTTTTTTCAAAAACTCAACTCATCTGAAGACTTTCTATGGTTAAATTCTAGTTTACAAACTTATGCTGTGCGATAGCACAACTGATCTATGAAGATTTTTAATAATTTTTTAAAACTAAAAAGTAGAAAATAAATACTTTATAAAAAAAACTTTTTAAAAAACCACGTTTTTACCCGTTGACTAAAAAGTAGAAAATAATTTTTTTATTGGGTTCAAAGGATATTGAGTTGAAAATTTGAGATTGATTTGAAAGTTTCATACTAAAGTCAAGACCATACATGAATTGCAAATTTATTCACTTCGACCATATCGTATAGTTCTACATCTTATAACGTGGGCGCATTCATTAATATTGTATACTTGGAGAGCTTAAATTTCATATAAATGCGCCAACGTTTTAAGATGTAGAACTATACAATATGGTCGAAGTGAACAAATTTGCAATTCATGTATGTTCATGACTTTAGTATGAAACTTTCAAATCAATCTCAAATTTTCAAACCAATGTCCTTTGAACCCAATAAAAAAATTATTTTCTACTTTTTAGTCCACGGGTAAAAACGTGGTTTTTTAAAAAGTTTTTTATTTTCCATATATTAATTAGCTCACAATACGTATAAGTGCAACGAAACGTTTATGATCAATATGCTTAAAATAATTTATTCTGAGAAAGAAGATTTTGTAAAAACTTTCAAATTAATTGTATTAAAATTCTCTTCTTGCAGTATTTAATTTTTTCTTCGGTTTACGTTTAAGCATATTTACATCGTTGACTTGATTTTTTTTTTAAATTTTTCGTTTTATTGATTCTTATTTTATTTTTCAATTGTGTTATGAATAATTATAATTTTTTAAAGTACTTTAATTATTAATACTATTTGCATTACAATAAATTTCCAAAAAGAAAATGGTTATTGAATTAAATCGCTTAATGTCTTGTGGAAATGAATTAAATAGATTAAGACCTCGCATGTAATGGTGTGACTGCCTAAGACAGAATTATATTTCTTAGCAACGAAGTTTTCACAATTGACTGGCCGTGTGTAAAATAATGATCTGAGTAATCAGAGAAAAACAAGAAATCAGTTGAATATCTCGAACAAAAACATAAAGACGTGTTTCATTGAAAAATCAAAAATAAAACATGGCGCAGTCGTATTTAAGTATTGAAAAGTTCAATTTTGAAGCTTCGACGTTAGAAATTGAATGGAAACGATTTTTAAAAGAATTCAACTCATATTTGGTAATCAACCAACTTGATGAGAAATCCGACAACATCAAACTCAATTTATTGACACTATTGATGGGATATAAGTCAGTGGATATCATCAAGAATCTGCCGTTAACAGATCCAGAGAAGCAGAACTATGAAAAAGTGTTTGAAGCTCTCGAGAATCATTTTTCACCGTTATCAAATTTTTTAATTGAACGAATGAAATTACGTGGTCGAATTCAACAAGAAGGCGAATCTGTCGACAAGTTCATTAGTGACGTTCAAACCCAAGCCGATAGCTGTGCATTTAATGAGTTCAAAGAAGAAGCCATTCGTGATCAAATAATTTTCGGTCTGCATAACAACAATTTGCGAGAAAAGCTCATTTTATCTGAAGAAAAGTCATTACGTACGTTGATTAGCAAAATCAAAATTTTCTACTACAATCAACAACAATTGAATCAACTAGCATCAGACAGTGTTAAAGCGAATCAAATAGCAGCAGTTGACCAACGTGTTCTTCACAAACCGACGTCATATAAACGTGAAAGTTCTCAAATTAAGAGCAAAAAATTTGAGAATTCAATAAGCAAAAAGAAGAAGGAGAAGGTCTGTGCAGATGATGAACGCAAAAGCAGTGAGTCTAATGTTGTAATCAATTGTGATGAACTAAAAGAACATGCAATAGGCAATGTTTGGAGTAAAAAATTACTCGTGCATGATAAAATGATCAATTTTAAGTTGGATACTGGATCGCAGGTTAATACTTTAAGCATAAATATGTTCAAAAGTTTAGGAAAGAAATTTAAGATTGAGAAAAGTAATTTAAAATTACAAGGATATTTTGGTGAAATCAATCACCCTTTAGGGAAGACGATTCTTCCAATTAATTTCAATAATAATGTTTACCTTGAAGAATTCATAATCATTGATAAACATACGGTACCTTTATTAGGTTTAGAGACATGTGTAAATTCAGATTGAAAAAGAATTTTTAGCCGTTTTCTTTGCGTGCAAAAAGTTTCACAATTATATTTATGGAAGGAAAGTTACTATAATATCTGATCATCGTCCTTTAGAAAGTATAATTGATAAAGATATTACTAAGATAGGATCAAAACGCTTGCAGCGTATTCGATTAAAGTTACACAAATATGATTTAGATTTGAAGTACAAGCCCGGCAAAAGCATTCCAGTGGCAGATTACTTATCTCGATACGTTTCAAATAATTTGATAGCTGTAGATTTTGAAGAGAATTTCATGAAACAAATGATTCATTCAGTGAATATTAGTGATGATAAACTAAAAATCTATCAAGCTGAGACAGGTAAAGATAAAGAATGCTCGTTGTTAAAGAAATACTTTGCTGAGGGCTGGCCGTCAGACAAATCAAAAGTACCTGATGAAATAAAACTCTTTTTTTATCAGGATAGAATAATAGTTCCCAAATCATTGAGAGAAAATGTTCTTAAAGATCTTCATGAAGGTCTGAAAAAAAAAAAAAGGTCACATGGGAATTACTAAAACCTTACGTTTCGCGAAAGAATCAGTTTATTGGCCTTCACTAAATGTTAGTATAGAGAATTTAATTAAGAGTTGCGAAGAGTGCAACAAGTTTCAGAAATCGAATAGAAAGGAACCAATAATTCAACACGAGATTCCTCTCCAATCATTTGAGAAAGTCGGATGTGACATCCTTGAATACAGTGGAAAGAGTTATCTCGTTGTTATTGATTACTTTTCAAAATGGATTTCGTGTAAATATTTAAGTTCGAAGAATTCGAACGCTGTAATTTCGAAATACATTGAGATTTTTACAGAACACGGCTTTCCAAAGACTATTATTGCAGACAACATGCCGTTTAATTCATTTGAATGTAGAAGTTTTGCCCAGGAGTGGGATATTAAAATAGTCACTTCAAGTCCTCGTTATGCACAGTCGAATGGTCTTGCAGAGAAAGCTGTAGGAATAGTTAAAAATATGATGAAGAAATGCGATAATTTCAATAAAGTTTTAATAGCAATTTATAATTACAATAACATTCCGTTAACGGATATTGACTTGTCTCCTAGTCAATTGCTTAATAGAAGAATGAGAACTAAAATTATTATGAAAGATAGCTTGCTTGAACCAAAGTTAAATCACAATTTAGGTGAAAAATTCGAAAAGAAGCAAACTAAAACCAAAGTTTATTACAATCGAAATTCATATAAACGTAATGGGTTTGATTTAAATCAGAAGGTGTGGGTACAATTGCCTGATAACACTTGGTCTAAAGGATCAATCGTTAAGAAATGTTCAGAGCCTAGATCATATGAGATTTGTATGGATAATAATAGGGTTATTAGACGAAATTCTAAATTCATTCGAGCTGATAGGTCAACAGTATCCAATCAAATTGATCAAAAGAAATGCAATGAGTCTAGTCGATACAGAATCAATCTCGATAACTTCTTCGCTGACAACTCACTGCATGAACCTCCTCTGAATTCTAATGCAAATGCCGCATCTCCCGTTCATCACCAACCAACTGCAACCTCAACAGAGAGTAATTCGAACCAACAACCGTTCCGACGATCATCAAGAATTCCTAAACCAGTACAAAGATATGGGAATTGATAAGAGAAGGGAGATGTAAAATAATGATCTGAGTAATCAGAGAAAAACAAGAAATCAGTTGAATATCTCGAACAAAAACATAAAGACGTGTTTCATTGAAAAATCAAAAATAAAACACCGTGTGCATTTGGATGTTATTTTTAAGTAATTGTTTTGAGTTCTTAAATATTTGTAAGTATGTGCTCACATTACAAAGTGCCGATACTTGTAGAATTTTAATTGGTAACCAGGCTGCTTATAAAAAGGCGACAAAGTGAGTTAAATAAGAACGATTTAAAATTATTTTTTGTTTCAAATTTTTTATTTTTGATATGTATATTTTTAGAAGTAATACATTAAGTCTATAATTTGTTATGCACTCTAACAATAATTGATGCACTTACGTAAACAAGTAAATAATTAAGAAATCCCAATTATTCCATTGTTATGATATGTTGTAATTTCATGATAATTTATTTAACTACAGTTCATCGTGCTTTGGACCAGAAAACTCATCATGTGAGATAAAGCCATTTTTATCTTTGTCTTCATGTTGGAAAATTTCTTCGACTAATTTATCGTGCTCTGCCAATAAGTTTTTAATTTCATCAGTATCTTGACCTTCTACTGCACTCATTTGTTTTTTCAGATATCCACTAACCTGTGAAATGTTTTTTTTTTATATAAAAAAAAATATATGGTTTTTGTCATAATGCGTTTAGACATACTTCTTCGCGAGACAGTTGCATATCTTTGTTTTCATCAATCTCTTTAAACACATTTGTTGTTGGTGGAGAGTCGCCTATATTGACAAGTTCTACATCAAATAAAAGCGTAGCTCCGCCTGGAATGACATTGCCTGCTCCACGATCACCATATCCTAAGCTGATTTTTTTTAAACACAATTTTATTTGGGTAATTTTTTTTTTCGATAATTGTTTATACAAGGGATGTGTTACATGTAGAGATTTCAATCCCGGGATTACGGGATCAAGATATTCTAAGAATTTTTCACAAATCTTGTTAATTTTAAAGAGTAAAATAATAATAACCAGTAAGTTTTTACCAAATAATTTAAGAATTCTTTTTAACTTACAGTTTTATTTTCAAATTTTTTTTAAAATGTTAGAAATAAGTGTTGTCAAATGCCCATTGAAATTTCCAAATTTTTTAAAAAAAATAGAATTTTAAATAGATTTTATGATCATTCGAATGCATCTCTAATAAAGCTGCAATAAAATCTATTATTTGAATTAAAAATTAAAGCTATTGATTTTGTTTTAAAGCAAAAGTTTTAAAAGTTTTGACAAAAAATCATAATAGCTTCACAAAAAAAAATAAAATTTTTACAATTTTTAAAATTTTAAATAATTTTTGATATGTAAAGTTAAAAGATAATCTTTGTAAAAACAAAAGCTTTAATTGTAAAGTTAAAAAGTTCAGACAAGACAAGAAAAGGAAATATTGATACATTTGGAAAAACTTTAACTTTCTGGCTTAGTTTTCAATTCAAAAATTTTTTCAATGACTAATACACCTGATTGGAATTGAAATCTCTTATTTTGAACATGTTAAACACAATTTTATACCGTAGTTTCTGAACCAAATCTAATACCGGTTTTAAACCCGGGATCAACCATTTTAGAAATTTTGGGCCGGTATTGAAATCCCTAGTTGCATGTGACCGAAAAAATTACTACGCGGAATTATTCTTTAATAAATTTCATTTTTTTTAAACAATCACCTTGGGCTAATAGTCAGTTTTCTTTTTTCTCCAATACACATATCAACTAAGCCTTGGTCCCATCCTTTTATCTATTATAAAAAAAAAATTGAAATATTAAAACATATTTCAGGGATAAGTTTGAATGATGATTAACTTACTACTTGTCCAGCTCCTAATTGAAACGTGAAAGGTTGATCTCTGTCATAACTATGAAAATGAAATAAATAAAAAATCATTCAAGAGTAATAATTTTACTTTTTTAAATTAACTTATTAATTTTTAAAAATATATGAATGTCAAGTATGGACGGTTTTATTTTGAATTCAAGTCGCGTCCCTCGATACAAAACATTCATTACAATAAAAAAGGATTAGTCAAAGTCACTTCAAAGAAGATTAAACTTAATTTTTTTAACTATACAAGAACATGTAAAGGAAGTTATAATTAATAATTATTCCAATTCCTATCTACATATTCTAAGATGCCTAAAGATATAAGAATGCCTATAGTATTTTGAATATCATGTACTCTTACAATTTTTTTGTTTTGACACGAAATTGTGAAAGAAATACTTAAAAAAAAGTAACATAAAAATATGACACAAACATGATTTAAAGAGATAAAAAAAAAACATGAAATGTTTTCTAATGATAAATAAAGCCAATTGAAAAAAATGACAAAAATTGTAAAATGTATGCTATACCTTTCATTTTTTCACACAATTTTCAGAATAAAAATAGCGTAAAAATAAATATGAAAATTTGAAAAATGAGATCTAATCCCCGAGGAAAATAAGACAACTGTTTTCTTGTTGTAATTTGCTTTATTGTAGGAAAAATGGAAGAAAAATACTTAATATTTTTATCAAAAGATTTTATTGTACTTTATGGAACATTTGAAACTTTTTTTTCGAAAAATTTTAAAAACATATTTTGATAAACATACATTACTCAATATGAATTAAAGTCAGTAAATATTTAAATGATAAATTTAGTATTTAAATAATAAAAAATGTTGCCTTACAAGTTGCAACAAATAGAAAGTTCTCAAAAAAATTGTCGAACTAGGTGTATTTGCGAAAATTATCCAAAAAGCTTACTTTTTTCCATATGAAGACTTTAGAAAAACGAAGAGAAAAAAATATTCCAAAAAGGAAAGTCATTTGTAAAAATGTTTATCATTTATTTATAAGCAGATATGTATAGCGAATTGTGAATAAAGTGAGAAAGGAATATATACGTAGTTCATGCATGCAAATTGTCGTCAGATGAAAATTATTTTGTGATGCAAATTCACATCCTAGGAATTTGAATTGAATTCAATCCCATGTGGTTGTTCATTTACCAAAATGATTGTTAGAGAACTTGAAAGCGTGTAAAAGTGAAGAAATAAAAGTTGTTTGGCTTCGATTAAACAACATCAATCTGGGGACGGCAGAGAATAATTTTCTTCCGTTATCTTTGACTCTTTGAAATTTGTCTATGATAGAACTTGTACATAGAACGTGTAATAAAGTTGTTACAAAACACTGTTTAAACAAAAATATTGATAGCTTGGTTGCTTCTTCATGTAGTGGTTGAAATTCTCGTGTTTTGGATTTTATGAAGTAATAAACTTTAATGTGATGGCAAAGAATGTAATAAAAATAAAGAAAATTCTTGGGAAATTCAAATGGGTTTCTTTTCAATAGATTGGATATTTCCTATGTGAATCAAACGTTTTTCATTCGGAAAATAAAAATTGTAAATTTTATAGATAAAGAACAGATGTTAAAAAATTTACTTCATTCACGTATCTGTAGTGTGCTGAATTCATTAAATATAAAGTTCCTATTTCTAGAGGATGAAAGAGTTTAACATCAGTTCGCGATATAGAAGAGATATTTGAAAATGTTCTACAATTTCATTAATTTAATATTCAAAAATTAATTTTCTCAAATACCTAGAATGCACTGTGATTAAATTTCATGCAGAAGACTGACTAGGAAAACACATTATTACAGTGAAATTTGGACTTATTCAAAATTACCTGCAAAATTATTAATCTTCTCAGCTCTAGATTTTACTCATAAATATTCCTTGCTGTTTTATAACATTCCGACTTGTTAAATAATTTTATTTAGACTAATCATCGTTTATCCTAACACATAAAAACTATAAAGAACAATTCACTTCAAAATGGGAATGCTCCAAATTACGTTTTCAGTGTATATTTTTCTTATGGATGACATTAAAATAGACTTGTATACCAAATTTGTATACCAAAGTTTGAAGTTGCAAATGAGTGAACATTCTGATTTTTTCATGCCACATATGGACCAGAAAATATCTGCAATGGTTTAGGTTATCGAAAAATGGGTTTCGGTATTTAAATAGTACCATGTAAGATCTTCACTTTAATGTATCATAAAAGCTGTAAAAACATTGAAAATACAGGGTACCATTTTTGAGATAAATTGATTTAAGTAAGTCGTCGAATATTTAGCTACTTAATACTTTACATAATAACATACTTTAATTAATTTCGGAATTCCGATTTTAAATTTGAATTTCTTTCGCTTTTTAGACATCTAGACAACTACTGAATGTTGTTTTCTTGTAGATTCTGACTTTTGTCCCATATTGCAATATTAAATCATATTTAACTAGTCAGTAGATTCGACAAATTTACGGGATCAAAGTTATCGTTATGATCTTAGTTTTTTAAGTATTTATTTTTATTAATTATAATTTGTTAACTTAACCTATCATATCCACGAGTAAAAAAAATTGATACAATTCTTTCTTTCGGTCAAAAGATTTTGGGTCATGCAAATGTAATGTCCTTTACAAATATATCTTTGAATATGCTGCTTGTCACAAATAAAAACCACCAAAACATGTCCTTTTTATTTGAAAGCATAAAAATTTGACACATTTTCCTGAAATTTTCAGTATTAAATGAATAATTAATGAATTGATACGTCTTTTTTGATATCTCAAGCTCGTATAAGAAGTTTCTCAAATTGTTTGAATTCAGTAGCCCTGTTTATTTTTCTTACAAAAAATCTACCGCTATCGTTAAATTAAAAATTTATTTAACATCTTCTTTTACTGTGTCACATTTTCCTTTCTTATTCTATCAAAACATGATAGTTTACATCCGTGTTTTTCCCAAACATCTTTATATGACACAAGATGGTCAAAAAGAAGAGAAGAAGTGCAGTTATTTAAATAATTTATTTAAAATTTCAATATAAGTATTTGCAAATCTACCAGAAATTCCCAATAGACACGTTTTTATAATAAGCGACTAAAGGTTTGTAGTCATATTTCTTGTGGTGGATAACTTTATATTTTCTTTTTCTTAGCAGTAAGAAGGAGATAAGATATATTCTTTAAGTGTTGAAGCAGGGATTTCTTTCCATACTGACGAATATAGGAAAGAACAAAATTTGATATTCTTTTTGCGTTCGAAAATGATCCTGTAAAAATTTGAAGGGGTTAAAACATATACTTTATTTTATGATGATGTACTCAAAAATGTTCTGTGAGCTTTCAGAACACAGTGATAAAAAAAAATAAATAAAGAATATAAATTTTTCTCTACCCGCAAACTGATATAGGTAATCCGATACTTCTCGTGAAAAAAAAATATGTTAGCTATTTATTTAAACATATGATGCTCCTTTGCAACAGTTTCATATAACCCTTTTTAATTTATTATTTATAGAAAAGATAAAGAAGCAAAGAAATGTTTTAAGAAAACAGTGTTTAAACATTTGTTTAAAAATATTTAATTTTATGATTTTTTCTAAAGACAAAACTAATAGTTGCTTCAAAATTTAAAAAACGCTTAAAATTTATATTATCAATAAGAAACAGAAAATATGATTTATATACATATAGGTTTTCACCCTCAAGGCTTTAATTTCCGGAAATTTTCTCTTGCTTAAACAAACTCTTTTCAATAGTTTTTTTTAAAGAATCAAAGCATGTTAAAAGCACTTTACAAAACGAAAAAAAAATATAAAAAGGTAGTTACATAAATGTAGCTTATTTAATTTATTTTACATAGATAGACCGAAAAGATTGCAGAGATGATACAGTTTTTGAAGCATGTTACACTCATCACAAATGTAAAATTTCAAGAGCTTTTTCATTTAAGAGTTTCACTTATAAATTGTATGTTTTCTTCGGAAAAAAGGTGATTAGTATTTTAAATGAAAATTAAATTATTTATGGACATTCGCTTGATAAGAACAAAAATTTAAATTACAAATGCAGACATGATGAAAATGTCTTATCGTAAATTGACTAAAACGACGGTAATGTAATGAAAATGAGTGAGGAATTCAATTAATCCCATTAAAAACATTACAGGCACGTTTACAGTGAAATATTGTTCTAGCCTTTTTAAACATTTGCCTTATCGGACATAAGAACGCAGATGTTCTTGACAGGTATTCACCAATGATAAAATTCAATTGAAATGTACATTTTAAAAAAGATATTGAAACGTGATAATTATATAAAAAATACCGCTTTTGTTACTGAATTATTAGATTTTCAAATTATTATTGGACCGAATCATCACGATAAAATTAAAGTAATTTTTCACAATGAATATGCTCAAAAACTATTAGAGCCGAATGCTAGTTGTTTAATTGCAATTTTTATGACTAAGATATGAATAATCTGTCTTATCCCCAAAGCATTTCCAGATTTTTTTTCAACAATAATAAACAATGCTTTAAAATTTCTTTTAAAAATTAATTTAAAATATAGTTCATTATTTTATTCAGTTTTCAATAAATTGCTTCCTTTTGGATTTTGAATTTAGTACAAAGTATTTTTGGATGTCAATTTATTTATTTTATTTTCTTTGTAAAAAGAAGATCGCAATTTAAGTTTTTGAGTATTTTTCTAAAACTCAGCAAAAATAAATACCCCTTCAATAAATACTAGATGATTGCAATAGTAAATTGTTTACCCGGTATGTGAACACATCTTTGATTAATATTTTTAAACAATTTTTTAAAAAAAAGTAAATTTAATTTTTTAATAACTTTTCGCAACATTTTTACCAAGTTTTTGTCAATGTGTTAAGAGGAGAAAGTTCACAAGTTTCATTGAATAGCATTTCATACACAACAATGTAACGATAAACATCTTTTTATTTGGGTAAAATTTATGATTAAAGTGCATGAATAATCGATATATCACCAGGCATTGATGTTAACAAAGGTTATGAGTTATTTATCTATTGAAAACAATAATTACGCTGAAATCTATTGTCTTTTAAGGCATTAAAAATGTTGTGGCAGAATAATAAAGAAATAAAAAATAGTTTACGTTTTTTCCGCAATTAAAGAGGTACATAATTCAAAATAGGACGTGAAATATTAAGTGTGCCATCAAATTTTCAACTTGCTAAACCACGTTGTGACACACTGGTTTGAAACGGAGCATACTTTGAAAAATACTGATTAGCTATTTGAATTTAAAAAAGTGTATTATTTGTTATTCTCACCTCGAGTCAAATTTTTTTCCATCAGTAAGTGTTCCTGTGTAGTGCATTGTTAGTGTATCACCATTTTTTGATTTTAATGAACACTCTTCAGGTTTGTAAACATAATCAATTTTCAGTTCCTTATCTCCTTCACTATTAACCAAAGCTAATGAGCAAACTAATAAAACTACTTTAAAGTACATTGCTGAAAATAAAAGAAAATTTTTATAGTTGAATTCTAATTGAATGTTGTTAAAAGTATGTATTTGTATAATTATTTGCATAAGTAGTTTTACAAAAATTAAAAAAAATATAATTTCCATGTTCAGCTCTACCACGTTTAATAACATGGTTTATCAAATACAGCATAAAGCTATTTTAAACACCAAAGCGTTATTTGCATATCAATTATTGTAAAAATTGTTTTAATTTTTTCAAACAAATAAATATAAGAAATTATTCAATAAATTCTTCTAAATTTTAGGCCTATAATTTTGCATTATTTTCATGATAAAATGAATCACCATATCTTCAATGAAGATAGCAAAACATAAATTTGAATATCATTGAAATGACATGTCACTTGACATTTGAAAAAGTAACAAATTACGTCCGAATGTTTTCGATGAAGCGAAAATGCTTTCACATGCTAATTATCAGCTATGCCATGACTGCATTATACACAGTTAAATAAATATTAAATTATCATGCATCACAGTCAATGAAATTTATGGTGTGAAAATGATCGAATATTTCTAATTTGATTAAAGGTAAATAAAATTGCTTTCCAAATTTTCATTAATTTATTGAGCACATTTAAATTTACATTGAATTGGATGAATAGCCATATATAATGATAACCGTATAATTATTTTTACTCGATATGTCTTTTATATTTTTATATGTCACAGATTTATGTTTAAGAATAACAAATACTTTTTTATGTTTCAATTTTTTGTTAAAAAACTAACTCAACAAATCCGAGAACTAATGTTACTATGAAGATGATTCTTGTTTGAAGAATCGAAAGATACTGATTTCATTCATATAAAACTGTTTTAGACGAAGCACTTTTAACAACAAAAAGCGCAACATCAACGGTACTTTTCTCTTGAATGTGTATGTGGAGCTCATAATTTTGTAGTAAGCAGAAAGTTATATCGTTAAGCAGCAGATTACTACGTATGTTTTTACTTATTCAACACAGAGACACTCAGCTCTTTCATTTCTTAAGAGAAAGTGACAAAGCACGCTATAAGTTCTTGAATCATTTATAAGCTGCGTAGCGATAATAAAAAATTTGCTCAGTTTTATGCATTTCGTGGCAAAATGTGAAATTTTATGAATGTTTTCTCTCTTCACTTGTGACATAAATTTTTAATTTTTATTATCTTTCTTGCAATTTTCTTTACGGTTTCTTATCCTGAAATGGTTTACTTGCCGAGTCTTGAACTGCAATTAATATTTAAAAATGCCTTTTTTTAAAAAAAAAAGTGCCACGTTATACTTCTTTGATTTCAAAAAGTTTCCAGCAAATCACATATTGATAAGGAAGATTTTTTTCTGAATATAATATTTCACAAGATCATTATTATTAACAAAACATTTATGTAAATGCATTAATTTGATTACCTTTTCTTTTTTTCTTATTTTAAATTTTTTTAAACTTATATACAGTATTTACTATGAATTCTCTTAAGTCACTGAGTAAATGTCTGATCTGAGGTAGTGCTTTATTTTAAATTAATATCACCACATATGAAATAATTGTATATAACACAACATTTTAAACGTGATTGTGTGTTTATAGTATTTTCATCTTACATGCATACATACATGGTAATAAAATTAATAAAACTCTTGGTGTAAAGTAGTTTTTTAATATTTACAACTGATAATATTGCATTAGTAATTATGAGTCCTAAATAAAGGAACCTTTTTTAATTAAAGAAAGTTTTAAGTTTTTTCGAAATATTATGTGCAAATAAAATATTTCAAACAATAGCTTTCATTCTCAAAATAATATTATCTTACTTATATATCTTTTTCAAACCTTGCCATTTAATTTTAAAAAAGTATTGATACTGATTGATACTTTCAACTTTTATTACACAAACGATTGACACATTGATAAAGTTGTACTGGTGCTTATTTTTATCAATGTGTTTAAGTTTTCTTTAAACGTGTGAATGTACTTTGCTTGCGCTGGAGTCTAAATCATATATGCTTTTTTGTTGTCAGTTTTTTTAGTGAGAATAGTTTCAAAGTTGAGACAGTCCAGTCAAACCATCACTGAACATTTGTTAATAAAAAATTCCTCTATTTTAAAGCACGTTTATCGAAATAATTTACATAAGTACGATTTTATTATATATATATATTTCAAAAGTTCAAACGGTTATTTTAAGTTTTGTCATGAAGGTTAAAAGATTTAAAAATACATCAAAATCTGAATATCATCTTTAAAAATTTATTTACAAATTTTATATGAAAAAAATAATTTGATCATTGTTAAAATAAAACATTCAATAAAATAGAGTTGAAAAACGGAATATTATAATAAAAGTTTGCACAAATGTATTATGGGTAAGTAACAATAAAATTTGTTTTTCGATATCTTCTTTAATCAATTAATTTGATTGGTTCAACCGTCTGTATAATTTTGTTTTCATAATGAGTGCCATCTATCGTTCATGTTTATTTGAACATTGAAGCGCTGAACATGTAGTGCTGACTTTTTAACGGATTTAAAATTTAAAACAAATGAGGTTCTATGAAAAATAAAATCGGACTATTCCTGTAAATCATGATTTTTTTGAGAAAAAATTGAACAAAAGGGGCAACTTGTGTAAAAAAATCGTCTTGAAAAAATTATTTAAAATAACTTAAAAAGTAAAAAATTCAAGTTAATAAGTTAATAACTGTTTATTCAATATTAAAATATAAAGGATACAATTAAAGGTAAATGTAAAAAATTAATAAGTAACAGGAGAAAAAATGTAAAAAATAGAGGAAAATTGTTCTAATTAACAATTAAAAGTATTATTTGACTTATTTTTGATTAAACGATTTATATACAAAAACTTAAAGATATTAGTGTGTCAATTAGGTTTCAAATACTAAAATCAATCTTATTCTATTATAAATTTTGATGATTATTGATTTTTCTTTCCTCACCATACAATATGTTCGTTTTACCTTGTTCTATTTTGTTCTTATAATTTTCATATCCTTTCATGAAATTCAAAAGCATAAAGTGAAATCAAATGTTCGAATGCTTTTAAGATACAGCTCATTACTATTGAGTTTAAAATACTTCAAAACGTTCTATGCAATATATAACAGGAAGTGTCAATTGACACTATAAGTATATTAATAATATCTTATTCTTTAAAACTAAAAGAAAAAGATGTACATGTTACATAATAAATCTTTGAATATAATTGTTAGAAGTTATAATACGAGTTATTCAATTTTAAAAAAATTAATTTTATTTCGATCTAAAATAAGTTCAAAAAGTTAAATACTATTCAATTGAAATTTTAAAGAAAGCGTTGCAAAAGAAATATTTTTTTATACATTTATGCGCAGGTTTGAACTTTTTATGATAAAACGACTCATTACAAATGTTTATGTAACATTTTTGAGAAATTCTAAGAGCCAATAAAATTGTGCAAATTTTTCTTGACAGTAATTTTAAGTAAATAAAACTTAATGATTTACAAGTTAAAGTAAAGCTGCTTATTCATAATAATATTTTCAATTAGCAGCATTGCTTTTGCGTTCTTCAAATCACTTGGTGATACATTTGGAATATTTACAAAAGTAGTTGAAAAAGATAATTCACACTTGATTTCACAATGTGCGATAATTTTATATTCAATGCTTTATGAAACATTTATCTTTATTTATTTATTCGAAATTGATGTATATAATCTTGTTTTCTGAACTAACAACAAAAATCATTGCACTGCCTCACTTTTCGATATTGTATTGCTTATAACCTTAAGTCGAGTCTCTCCTATTCATTGAAAATAACTTGCCATATAAATCAATCACAAAATGCATTTATGTAATTTTTTCCTAAACATCCATTTTTAAAAATTTATTCACACAATATACGCAAATTCTTCTTAAATCATCCAGTAAAAGTTTTTAAGAAGGGAATTAAGCAAATCTTTTAATTTCAGTATTAAACATATTAGGACTTATTTAATATAACTTGATGGCAATTTGATTAATTTTATTTTTTGTATATCATTTTTTGAACCATCATAAATATTGCTTATATGGCTGAAATGATAGAGTATTGTAAATGAAAATTACAAAAGTCATCGTGCTTTATTGAGTGACACTAGCGCATTTTTAATGCAGCGATCAGTATTTATTTGGTAATGCAAATTGCTCCAAAAGTTTGCCTTTAGAAAAGCTTCTATCCTGTATCTTACAAATCTCATGCATTACGTACAAAAAGTTTTACTTTTGCGAGCTACTTTAATTAACAAGGTTTAATCAAAGCTTTTACAACAATTTATGAAAAAGTGACTTATTAAGTTCCTTTTTAATCTTAATAACTATTCGTCAAATTAAATATATTGTGTGAAGAAGTTTTTTTTTATATTTTGCTGTTTTTTTAAATTTATTTGTATTTATTTTCTAAATTCCTAAATTGCATACTTAATGTGACTGCAAAACTTTCATGTAAATCTCATTTTAATAGAAAGTAATACATAAATTATTGTGATTCAAAAGTAGTATTTCACAACATCATCACGCTTATTCAAGAAAGCATAGAATGTTGATTAAAAAAATTGATTTTAACGCTGCAAATATGTGTGATTTTTATTAACGTTTTGATTCCGTTTTCATGGTATGACATGCAAGTAAAATATTACATATTATAAACCAGACATTAAGTATACAAATCATTACATTATACAAGGCAACAAATTCAAAGGTGGCGAAAATTCTTTTTAAAACAAACGACTAAGTCGCATAATATCTAAGTAAAACACAAAAAAAAATCGAAATTTCTGTGATGGACTTTGTTATAAAATATTACTTTATAGATTGTCTTCATAAAAATAAGCTTTGTATTTAAAAAAAAACTGGAAAACAAAAATATTTTTGAAAAATAATTTATTTTGTCGCCATTAATTTTATGTTATTGAATGTGTAATGAATATGAAATTCTTCGGTAAATAGATGCCCTCATCTGATTCAGGGGGCTATGTTTCTCTTTCTGAGGGTGCAAATGTGTACAAATCAACTACAGAACCAACAAAATCATTATCAGTAGTAGAAACGGTTAAAAAAGCTATCGAGAATGCTTTTAACTCAAATGAAATTGAGATCTCAAACTTTTCTGCATGTAACGCAAGGTAAGTCGCTTTCTTTAATTTACCTGTAAAAAGTAAAATTCATGTTTGTTTGTATGGTTTTTATTGATTTTTTTTTTCAATTTTTTTTTTAATTATATTTGTTTTTTAACTGATGATTCGTTGAAAGTTTAAGACTGGATTAAAAATTATTTATGTAATAAAAAAAGTCCTCGTACTTCATCGAGTGAATAAAACGCATTTTCACTACAAAGATCAGTATTCGATTATCAAACGAATGTGAATAAATTGAGATTTTTAAACGAATAGTTTTCATATTGCATTCGAACTTCGGTACCTAATTATTACGCAACACTGGCATAGTAAACAGTGGTTCGAGACTTGGCAAGGTAATTTGTCGCTTTTGCTTTTTCAAACCATATGAACTACAATTGAGCTCAGAGATTTCCCTTGACAGGTAGTAATATTATTAAAGGAGTGGATCGGATCCCAATATAAAACGCAGTTCTACGCGGGTAGAAATCCAATGCGGATGTATACACACCGTACCATCAAAAGTCTTGTTAATAGCCCAGAGCTTTGATCAGCATATGTTTGAATGTTTAATGCTTGACGGACAGACCTTACATTCTGTTATTGAAATTTCTTGCTGATTAACTTTCTTGTTTACTTGCTTCGTTTCCTTACAAAATGCGAAAAACTGATTTTTCAATCTGAGCAAAACCAATACATTCACGTTTGAATACGGTGTGAATTTTTAAAATCCTCCTTTCCAAAAGTTGTTCAAAACGAAAAAAAAACTACGTTTGTGTGAGGCCCCACTTTTGTAACATATTTCAAGCTATTTAACAATCTAGGAACATAATACCAAGAACATACTTTGAGCTCTACGTTCTTAATTCAAAATATTTTATTTGTTAGTGTATGAACAGACAAAGTGCATTCCTAAGTTGCCTTTTCGAAAACAATAGTGCTAAAACCATGGAATTGTCTTTAATTAGTTGTTCATTCGTAGAGTTAAAAGCAACTATTTTAGCTTCAGTTTTTAAAGTTTTTTTATAGCCCGTACCAATTTTTGCTGTTTCAAAGTAGGACGTTTTTAAAATGTTTTACATTTGATCAATTGGTGCATAGTTTTAAAAAACCAACAATCTATTAGTACATTTATTTATATCTTTAAGAATCTGATTTGTAAAAACAAAACAAAATATTCAACTTAATTGAAAACTTTGGTTTGAATATGAAAAAAATTCTTACCCAAAACTGCTGCAAAATGGTTGATTTTAAGCGTAACTATTATTTGAACAATAAACAGCTTTTCAATTATTTTTGAATGTAAAATTCTAATTTAATTTATCAGATTTTCTCGAATAGTCAAAAAAAACCATTTAAAACAAATAAATAAATTGAAATCAACATACTTGATAATGTTTAATCAATCTATGTGGAAAATGTGAAAAATCGTTTTTTGATGTATGATTTTTAATTTTAATTTTCTCATAATGATGTAAGTGTTAATATGAAGAATATGCTTTTTTCGTTCTAAAGATCACGCACTCATCACAATCGTGAAATACAACAAAAAAATCGGTTTTAACTTTATTATTAATATTTTTTTAAATCAATAATTATCTAAATTTATTTGGAAAATTCCATGTTTAAAAATCAATAATCAAAAATATTTGCATTAAAGGTTTTTTTTAATTAAAATAAAAGATTTGTGCAAAGCATGCCTAACATAAAACTTTTTTTTAAATTAGACACGTGAAAAAATTGATAAAAACCATAACTCGGATATTTTTTTATACCGTTTTTTATTATTATTATTATTTAAAAAATTACATTTTTTTTTATAAAGTCAAATCTGGTTAAAACCAATAATTTTGTGCATTAAGTTTGTTCTTTTTTAATTAAATGCATGCATTTAATATTTGTTTGTTTTTATACCATCCATGACAAAAAATTTCAGAGATCAGAAAGAAATTAAAACGATAAGCAAAACTACTTCAATCAGAATGCCGTCAGCTCCATCACATACTGCAGAATCTACTAGACTCCTTGGGTAAGATTTAACTAACCACAATATTGAATAAAATGATAGATATAAAGATAAAAGCTAGTTAAAAATGGCTACAAGAAAACATGAAAAAAGCTACTTTTTTACAGAATTGTGTGGGAAAACTTGATATTATATTAAAACACATTTAATTAATGTATTAAAAAATGAGAATCGATCATTGAAGTGTAAAAAATATATCCAGCCAGTGCAAAAAAAACTGATATAATTAGAAAATACATATAAGATAGTGCAAAACATGAAAACAAACTTATACAAAACATTTAAACCATCATTTTTTATTATTTGATTTGAAATCGTTTAATGAATATATTTTTTTTAGTTTAGAAATATATCGAAAAGGTTTTATATGTTTTTTTATTATTTAAGCAAAATTGCAGTTTGTGTCATGACAAAACACTAAAAAAGCATGCAGTTTCCACTCGTACTAAATGAATAGAGCATTGATTAAATACAAAATTCTTCTTTCTCTAAAACATTTAGTATATTTTTCATAATCAAATGACCTTCCATTTTTGCTCTTTTATCTATCCTAAATTATTTTTTAAACGGCTTCTATCATTGTATTTCATAACCTGCAATGAATGCTTTTGATAGCACAATTTTAAATGAATATATAATATTAAATTATTTAATAATTTGTGACCCTTGAAATGATGCATTTTGCTACAGTTTATTTTTTAATCTGAATCTAGTAATTATTGACTGATTTTGGAAAGTTTATCTAATTAGATACATACTTAAATACGGGGTTGCTTTAAAATTTGCATACCTTATAACTTTTATTTTTTTTTAAAAAAAAAAGCACAATGCCAGCTGAACTAGATGATATAGAATTACGTTCTGTTCAACTTCAACAATCCCATTCACGTGATTCAATTAGTAATGCTTGCGATGTGCACTGCATTTCAACTGATAAAGGAGACATTGCGGTTGCCGTGCAAGGTGATCTTTCAAAACCAGCTATTTTAACTTTCCATGATCTCGGCTTAAATTGTGAGTAATTTTTATTTAACAGTTAAATCTCATAATTATTGACAAATTACAAATTGTTTTTTTTTTTTGACAAAAATAGATGCATCAACATTTACTGGCTTTTTTAACTACCCAACTATGAGAGCTATGTTAGAAAATTTCTGTGTTTTTCATGTTACAGCTCCTGGTCAAGAAGAAAATGCACCAACTTTTCCAGAAAAGTATTGAAAATTGAATTCTTGATTTAAAATTATAACTATAAACAACTTTTTTTATGTGTGTTAAACTAGTTTCATTTATCCAACTATGGATGAGTTAGCTTCTCAATTGCTGTTTGTTATGTCACACTTTGGATTGAAAAGTATCATTGGATTTGGGATTGGTGCTGGGGCAAACATTCTAGTTCGATTTGCGATGAATAATCCTGATAAAGTAGGTGCCCTTTGCTTGGTAAACTGTAGCTCAACGCAAGCTGGATGGATCGAATGGGGCTATCAATCTTTGAATTCTAGAAATTTAAGGGCTAAAGGAATGACACAAGGTGTTTTAGATTATTTGATGTGGCATCATTTTGGTCGTAATCCAGAAGAGAGAAATTTAGATTTAGTGCAAATGTATAAATCGTATTTCGAGCGTTCAGTAAATCCTATAAACCTTGCAATGTTCATTGACTCTTATGTCAAGCGTACGGATATGAATATTGCAAGAACTCCAACAGGTAGTCCACAAAGTGGTAAGAATTATATTTAGGTACATTATCCTTTTTTTTAAATTTGTATTTCAATTTTAGCTACCCTAAAAATGCCTGTTTTAAACATAACCGGATCTTTGTCTCCCCATATTGATGATACTGTTACGTTTAATGGACGTCTGGATCCCTCAAAAACTAATTGGATGAAAGTAAGTCATAATAATGTGAAAAGTTTGTTGAAAGTTAAAAAAAAATTTTAATTTTAGATTAGTGATTGTGGACTCGTTCTCGAAGAACAGCCTGGAAAACTAGCACAAGCATTTAGACTTTTTTTACAAGGTGAAGGATATGGTAAGTGTCACTAGAGATTCAGTTTTAATTAAAAAAATCAGTAAACACCACAATTAGCGTTAACAGAAGCAAAATTTGATTATTCAAGATAGCTTTCTCATTTATTCATTTAAAATGATATTCATCAGTTCACTCAATACATACACTATTATTGCTGTCATATTGATCATGTTTACTCAATCAATATGAAATGATTAAAAAAAGACCAAAAATAGCAAAAATTATGCAATTTCTTTTCCAAAAATACTGATATAAGAATTAGAATTTCTGAAACGTTCAGATTTTATTCTTACTTTTTTAAGTGATAGAAATTAAATGAAACAAATCTCATCTACACATTTCACATTTTTTTTTAAATTTCCAAATTTTCATGTGCTATTTTTTAAGTCCTGTTTTATTATTATAATTTTTGCTCGTTAAACACAGTTAACTCACTTTAAACAATATATGTCATTTAAAACGTTGATGATACGCAAATCACGCTGATAAAAACAATTTTAAAGAAAACAAAATTAAATATCCTTTCTGATTTTGAGAAAATAAGGAAAAAAAGTATTGTCTGAAATAATCTTAATGATAATCGAAGATGTCTTAAGAATGCAAAAATTATTATCATAACTATGAGAAGCATAGAATTCAAATTTTGTTATCATATTTATTTTCATGAGCATTTTATTTAGTTTTATTTTAATTTCCATATTTTAGCTGTTGGTGCTTTACAAAAATTATCCCGTGAACCTACAATTGAAACCATTAATTAATTTATTCATTAAATTAGAAAACAATATTCCTAAAATCAACCAATGCATTAAAAATTTAACATAAAACTATTTATATAAAAAAGTCAAAAATAAAAATTTTATAACTTACAGACTATCAGAATTTTATTTTGAATTCAAGCTACAATAAATCAAATAATTTTTGTAATCATACAAAGAATGCAATATTGTTTTACTGTCGAGATCTTGCTGATTCTTTTTTGATTTTTAATTATATTCTTTTAGTTTAATTTTGCCTAAAGTTATTATTTTTCATTTCATTAAAATTCAAGGTGTTAACACTTATTAAGTGTTTTTGTTTTTAATTTTCTTAATCCCTCCCAAATAACATAACCCGAGCACTTCCCATTAAATCAGTGTTGTTCAAAATGAGTGCCGTGGCACACAAGTGTGTGCGTAGAACAATCTCAGATGTACCACGATAAAAATTCTAAAAATCCTGGAAAATTCAGGTTCAACTCATATTCGAAACTAAAAACATTGTCCAGTATGGAATAATTTGGTAGAATTATTTCTGGAATTAGAAACCAAAATTAGGCTACAAAACAAATAATCAAATTCAGGTTCAAAATTTACCGACTTTTTGAAATTGAAATTCATTGGCTACTCTAATTCCGCATTAGAAATTTCCAAGTGCTTTAGTTCCGAGATAAACGTGTAATCAATCTTAGGAAAATGGTCTAAAAACTTAAATAAAATATCCGAAAACCAAAGGTTTATTTATAGTTTTCTGAACAAGTGATAGATTTTTAAACCCTTTCAATGATTTTCAACATAATTTTGGTCATAGCTACTTTATTGGTGGGTTTATTTTTTGTTTGTTTCGTAACAGAATCGAAGTGTGGCTCAAAAACGAATTTAAAATTTTTGTCATTTACGTTTTTTTAAGTGGTAACGCCTTTTTAAAATTTTATTCTTAGTAGTTTTCATCAAAAAAACTTGAATTCATTGCTTTAATTAAGCTCTAAGTTAAAGTGTTTTTACTATGTTTTTTTTTAAAAAAAAAATTAAAAATAGAAATTATATATTTTTTGCTATTTTCTCTTAAATTACTTTTCTTCTGAGATACATTTAGGATCAATTAATTTTTTAATTTCGTAAATAAAGTCCTTAATTATTTTAAAATTAAATTTTTAAGTTTTGAATATGTTGATTATTTGATTTAATCACTTAATTTTATTTTTCAAAAAAAGGGAATAAAAGCTAAAAAAAGTAAATAAGAACTTTTCCTTTTCATGTACATAGAAAAAATTTAAACATCTACAGCATTATATTTTTAAAAAAATATTCAAATGAAAGTGCTATAGCAATATCCAGTTCATTTGCGTAACATCATCAGTAAAAAATAATAAAAATATACATCATAAAATGCATCCTTGCTTCTTAACAAAAACTTAAACTTAAAAAATTATACATACGCTACCAGCACCTTCCTTCATGACGCAACATTATTTGAAATATCATTTTAAGAGCTTTATCAGCACCATCAATAATAAAGCTTTTGATGAAGTTAATGGCAACAATGCTGAAATTGAGGTTAATAATGGAAATGGAAGGAAACACATCATTGCCGATGGAAAAACTATCACCATGATTAGAATTACTGAGAACCCGCTGCCTTTGTAATTTTTTGTATTGATTGCGTATGTATTGTTTAATTAGCAAAAACAATTTTTGTGTATATTTCTAAAAAATTATTTGAACATCGGTTGATTGCGCACACAATTAGAAATTGGTGTGAATATGAAATTGTTTGTTTAAAAATTAATTTATTAATTTAAAGATACTAATTTATTGTACTAAAACTGTTTTCAATATAGTTTTGAATTAATTTTTTTCTTAAAGAAATTTTTAAAATGATTTATGAAAAAAATTCAATTTGCAATGAATTGAATTAATCAAAGAAAAACTGGAATATTATATTTAACTTCTTGTATTGTTATAAACTGAGAAAAATGCATATCTACAAAAAGGTATTTTGTGCAAACATTTATAACTTTAATTTAACACAGAACACAGAATAAAAAACTGCCACTGATTTCAAAACACAACCCTAAAAATAAGTAGAAATGCTACAGCTATGCTAAAAGTTAATGATGTATTCTATGGAAATATTTCAATGTAGGTGATGAAGTTGCAAAAGCTTTATAAAAGATTATCTTGCAAAGTTAAAAATAAAATTGAGAAAACATTTTTTTAAAACTTAAATAAAAAATATTAGTGATTTTTTCTATAAAATTTTCTTACTATAAATATTAAAGTTTTGGACTTTGTATTGAACAAATTTTAATTTATTTATCGATTTATTTTTAAAAAATATAGAATCTTTAAAAGGGACGTTCAATTTTTACGTAACGCTTTAAGGGGTAGGAAGAATCCCTTCTCGCTAAAAGCGCAACGTAATAAGTGAACGGCTCCAAAATTAAACGTTGATGCTAAAAATAATTTATCGATATAATTATCAATAGGATTTGGGAAATCTCAAGGTGGGTTCGATAATTATTTTTTCAAAGATAAAGCATACTTATATCAAAATTTCCTGTCACTTCAAAGTGATCTCTTCGGAAAATTGGTGCTTTGAAAAAGAAAGCATAAGCATAAACTAAGTCAAGAAAAACAGTTTTCAAGTTTCCATTTTAAATTAGTTTTAGGTTTTTTAAATCCATTTGTTTTAACCGAAATTCGACCAACAGCTGTTTTCCAGTTGTCAATAAAATGAATCCCTAATAATCCTATAATATTTTTTTTATATATCGACGTGAAATGAACGATTAAAAATTCAAATATTATTTTTCACTATACTTTTCAATTTAATAAAAAAACTTGACATTATTTTTTTTTCAAGAATAAATTTGATTATTTCTAATTAATATTTAAAATCATAAATACCTATGAAAATATTTAAGCCTAATTGAATATTTGAGTGCCTATTGTCATTTACTTGGTTTTTAAAAAAAAATATTGTATCCCAAACCCGCAATAAGTCATAATTTTTATTTGTATTTAATGAAAAAATAAAATAAAATCACTATAATAAGCTTTAATAAAATTTTTTGGAAACCAATTTTTTGTTTGTTTTATTATTCAATCCTTTATATTTTTTCAGCAAATGAAATTTCTTTAAGCTTTTTATAAGCTTTTTTAAATCATAAGAGCATAAAACGATGCAAGAGAGCAAAAGAGAGGAAAAAAAAGAGTAAGTCCAACTAAAGTGAGATAAATTTAACGAGAACGAGTTTTACTTGAATATGATCATTCATTCAGACGAAGATCATATTCAAAAGAAATAAGACGTTTATTGGCAAAAAATAGTTATTGTTTTTATGTGAAAAGAATAGTATTGACTTAACAAATAGAAGTGATAATCAATAGAAAAATTATATTAATCAGTGGAAAAAACTTTAAAAATAATTTTATACTTATCAGTGATGTAATTTTTTTTTTAATTACATGAATTTTTAAAAGTTGATACTGCTGTGCTTAAACAATTCTCAAAATTATATACAATGTTGAGCAAATTATTCTGGATTTTTTTGCTGATTTTTTGTGGATTATATCACCATTGTAAATGTTTTACAAACACCGTCAACACATTTGAGGATAATGAAATTCGAGGTAAGAAAAAATATGTGTAATGATTTGATAAACACTTTATTTAAACATGAATGGTAGAAGCATAAAGGTTTTTTTTTTGCAATCCAAAAAATGTATTTAGGTACTTTAGGTTTTGAAATTTAAAGTATAAGTTTATGATTGAATGCCATTAATGCTCCCACGTTATTACAAGTCATTTGTGTGAAATAACTACAGAAACTAAACTGAATTGTTTTGTTTGAACTTCTTATTGAACATTGATTATAGTCACACTTAAAAAAAACTTATTATACGTAATTTTATCTCAATTTTTTACTGTTATCTTATCAAGAAAACGAATACCAAAGGAATAATAATTTTATTTTTGTAATAAAATTCGTTTTTTACGTTTAAATATGTAAGTTAGCATAGATTTCACGATGAAGAATCTGTTCTTCTTCTTAAAATCGTCTACAAATAAAGGAAAATAAATACCAAAAGATGAAGAAATGAAGAAAAAAATCAAATTATTAATGAATTTTTACGTCTCTGTATTAATCTTCTTACTTAAATATGAATCGGGTAAAAAAGAATGAATGAAAAATTAAAGATGAATGAAACGGTGTAGAACCAATCTTAAACGTATCTTATACTAATGATATGGCACAAGTATACTACATTTTAACATTTTTATGTTCATCTTAAATTTTAAATTTGTTCTTAAAAGTATAAATTAGTTTCTTTAAAGTATTGTTTCTCAAATTTCTTTTAATCTCAAAAAATGTTCTCATGGAATTTCATCCTGTTTGTGTTTGTGTTTGTGAGCACTTTTTTCATTGTTAAATGAATAAGAAATTTGAGAACTAATACATATATTTCACTAGTGGAAAGAAGTAGGTAAAAAATTGTGAAGCCCATTGAAGAGTTTTCAAGTTTTTCTTTTCATTATTGCTTTTTTTGTGGAACATAAAATGGCAACATGTGGATGTATGATTGTACATGTGTGTGTAAATTGCTTCTAGCTTCAAGGTGCAATCTGAAGTGTACTATTAAAAACCTGTTTCCTTTAAACACTTTGGTATAATTTATCATAAAATTAATTTGGCAATGCAAATTTACAAATCAGCCCCATAAAAACTTAACTTTTTTGATAAGTTTGATAATTTTTTTTTAAAAAAAGGAGACCAATATATTTGAAGAAATTTAATATTTAATTTTTTTTTACGAAATTCACTGCTATGTTCAAGCTTGTCTTGAAACGGATGTTGAAATGCATTCAAGAGTACTTTAATCGTTAAGATCTTCCTTTTTCATACTTATATAGATCGCATACACAAAAGAACAAAAAACAAAAATCTAGAGATAGGATGTTGCTGTAATTTGAAACCTCTCTATATGTATTTCATGTGTTTAAAAAATTAGTAAGAAACTTAAACATTTGCTGCTCATTCTAGTTTTCAAAAATCTGTATTGCAATCAATACAAAAATTTAATTTGTTAAAAATTTTATTAAACATCAGCTC